AATAGAAAATAAAGATATCCATTAGGAAAAAGCAGAACAAAAACAAAACAACGAGATTGGTTTAGAACGAGTAATTTACTAAGCAGCCCTTCAAAATCAAGGGGCCGAAGTTTCATCAATGAAATATAACTAACACAAACAGCTTTTTGAATTATTTGTCACACATCTCCAGAGTAAAAGAGACTGAGAGACAAGGACCGGTTGAGACTACTCTTTCATAACAACATTTAATGATGGCAATAGACAAGCAAGTGCCTATCCTCATCACTCATGAGCAGACTTTGTGTATCAGACACCGTAAACACCATTCAACTTTTCTAGAACAGAGTTAAAAGGGCCAAAATCAATGGGCTGCATTACACACACTTTTCAGACACTTCAGAAAGCTCAGTGTTATTTCACAAACCAAACTACCATCAACACAGGCCACATCAGAACAATCCTCACTGCTTAAAGAACGATAAGACATTTTATTAATATTTACATTCTTCTATTGTGGTCTGTGCTTGCCAGAATCCTACTGGTGGTTTACACTTAAGTGAAATTATGTTAGTTGTGGTGGCAATTTATCACTCATTAGCAAGGTGCTGGTTGCATTTCCGGGTGTGCATACAGGAACACAACCAGTTAGGGTGGCCACATCAACCGGAGAATAGGGTTCCTGTACCTTCAGTTGCTGCGTAGAAGAAATTTAGAAGCTACTGCTCATCATGCCCACTGACCTGCTGAACCTTCTGCATCCTCACAACTATTAAAGGCACAGGAGCCTTGGCCTCCTTCTCATATGGCCAACTTACAACAAACATCTTGTAAAGCTATTTGCCACTGGAACCTATGTAATTTCCCATATGTATACATTCCTAACAGGATTTTGGTCAACTGTTACCTAAATACCTGACCCATTAAACCACTAAAATGTGCTTTAAAAAACAATAATGGTACAGAGTGCAACTTTAATTAAAGAAAATTAAGTTTAAAAATCTTCAGGACTACAGTCATTTAGTTAAGATTCTTAGAAAATAAAAATGCCTCAACTAAACATGCTAAATTTCGGGGGGCGGGATGACCCAGAACTGTAGGGGAAAACTAAATTACATGAAGCATGTTACATAAACTGACTTTACCACTATAGCAATTTAAATGCTTCATTTGTAACCTAGTTGTCATACAAAATTGTATTATTTGGCATATTTATGAAACTTTGAAATAGAAAAGACTTAATTTTATATAAGCACAATTATACATATGCTCTATACCAAAGAAACTATATCTTAGTTTATATTACATGAAAAACAGCAAAATTACACATTTTGTAACAAAAAAAATAATTATGGACAAAATTATTTGCACAAAATCAATCCTGTTTCTGCTGTGACTGCCCACCAAATGAGGACAAGTATTGCCAGAAGGCCAGTAGGAATCCACAAGCAATGAAGCCCTCCCCCATTCTCCTCTCTTAAAGATGTCAGCAACTAGCAGATACAAATTGGTGTCTTGGATTTATATACAGTGGTGCCCCGCATAGCAAGGTTAACCTTCGCTATGGGAAAACATCGTAAAACGGATCAAAAACCCCAATTGTTTAATGCGTTCCAAATGGGCCCAAAACTCACCGTTCTCCGATGTATTCCCTTGTTCCGGCGGCCATCTTGGGTGTACCGGTGGCCATTTTGAGCGTCCCAGTGGCCATTTTGGGTGTACCGGTGGCCATTTTTTGTGTTCCGGCGGCCATCTTGGCTGTTCCAGCGGCCATTTTTTGTTCCGGTGGCCATCTTGGGTGTACCAGCGGCCATTTTTTTGTTCTGGCGGCCATCTTGGGTGTACCGGCACCCATTTTTTGTGTTCCGGCGGCCATTTTGGAGCCGCAGAACAGCTGTTCCCCCATCGTAATGCGAGCGTGCCCTCGCATTAGCGATGGGGAAATCCGCATCGCAATGCGGATTCATTCAACGGTGCACTCGTTATACGAGGCACCACTGTACTTACTGTATGTAGCAGAATTATTGTTTTCTAATTCTTCAGATGATTTTGCACACAAATCTTCAATTTTTCTGAATAATGTTTTGCTATAAAAAGCATTTAACTTGCTTGCTTGCTTGATTACTTAATTATTACATTTTCATACCGCCCATCTAACTACTAAGGCCACTCTAGGCAGTTTGCATATTCCAAAAGAAAAAAACTGGAAGTTTTTTTCCCCACTGCTCACTGAAGTTGGTGAACAAAGAGAAAAATCAATTTTTTGCTATTGGAAAAGTTGGAAACCAAGCTTTTTTTAATTGGAAAAACTGAACTTTTGCCATAGGAAAGAAACAGGGGGAAAGTTTTATTTTTTAACCCTAGGCCTTCAGATATCTAGTGTGATTTGATGCCTGAAGGACATCAATACTGTAGCCAACAAATGTGCTGAGAAGACAACTCCACTAAGTTATCTCACCTAATTTCTCATGAGGGGGACACAAAAGATCTAGCTTGCTTGCACAAGACTTAAAACTATTTCTAAATTGCTCTAGCAATATTACTGAAGATTGGTAGAGAAATGATTGACCCATATAGATAAATTAAATGCAATTAAATATATAATAATATTTAAACTTACTGTGTTTTTAGTTGCATGTTTTAAAATCATATTAAAATAAGAATAAAATAAACAACCACAACAGGGTTGGGACTTTCAGGAAAAAAGAACTCCCAGCCCCATAATTCTGTGGGAAACACACACACACACAGCTGAATTATGGGAGTTCAAACCATCAGTTGCCATTTCTTCCCACATCTGAAAGGCACCCACTGCGCCTTTGCAAGTTGCAAGAATTCTTTGCAATTAACAAGAGTGCAGAGCATATGACACTAACTCCATATATTCTTTATAGAGGAAGCCTCTGTAGGGACTGTCAGGACCATACAAAAGGAGGGAGAGGGACAAACATAAATCTTCTGAACCCGGCATATTATTTTAGTCTATTTTGCTTCTGAAATCCATACTGGATTCAGGCTCCCATTATAAATCCATTTATTCCTGGGCAAACTGGAGATTCTAAACCCCAACAGAGTAACCACTTCTGCTATCCTAAATGCTTGCCTGTTCTCCTATCCTCCTTCAAACCTAAAGTTTTCAGGTTAATCAACAACTGAAGAAAAACCAGTGGAACCGGAATTTTCTTGTACTGTACTCGCTAGAAGTGGGGGTAGCAAAAACATTTAGGGAGACTCTGATGAAGGGCAGACAATGTCTCCTCTGTCTAGTATTAATTCATCTCTTCAACACTTGAAATTCATAAAAATATTTCTCACATCAGATCCAGAATAGTCAAAATAACATCATTTTTGGAAGGAAATACATAGACTAGAAAGACATGTTTGACTGTTGCAGAAAGGAAATACAATTAAACACTGTTTCTGTTCATGCAACACATTAATGGCAGTCCTTCTGGTATTTGTCATTTCTTCTTTAAGGAACCACACTTTCAGATCCTAAAAAAGATAGTACAGTGGTGCCTCGCACAGTGAGGTTAATCCGTTCCGGATTACCCCTCGCTGTGTGAAAGCATCATTGAACGGGGCAAGAAATCCAATTGGAACGCATTAAACAGTATTTAATGCGTTCCAATTGGGCTGAATACTCACCGTTCAGCGAGGCTGGCAGCCATTTTCGCGCCCTCCCCTCACTGAACGAGGGCGCGAAAACGCTGCGATCAGCTGTCCAGCGGTCCAAAATGGCCGCCGGAACAGCCGAAAGGGGGGGGCGCAGTGTTTTCCCGCCCTTGGTAAGCGAGGGAAGGGCGTGAAAACGCTGCGCACAGCCATTTTGGCTGTTCCGGCAGCGTTTTCGCGCCCTCCCCTTGCTTACCAAGGGCGCAAAAACGCTGCGGCTGGCCCTTTCGGCTGTTCCGGCAGCCCTTTTGAAGCCGCGGAACAGCTGATCGGCGGGTCGCAAAGCGAAGGTCGGTAAGCGAATCGCTTACTGACCTTCGCTCTGTGATTGCTGCCCTATCTAGGTGCCGTTTTGCGATCGCTTTTGCGATCGCAAAAACGGCACCGTTGCGCGGATTCGTCGCTCTACGGAGCGACCGTTCTGCGAGGCACCACTGTATAGTTCATAATTCTGCTCAAATATCTACTTGAAAGAGCTGCACTGAAAATTATTTATCAGAGAAGGATGCAGTGTAAATGAAGTTTTATCTCAGATTCTAATGGCATCTGATGTTAACACATAAAATATAACCAAACTTCCAAGGTAAAACATAAATTTTGGTGTCCCACTTACAGAATATACATAGAAGAATGCATCAAGGACACCAATACGAATTCTTCAGTGCTAAAAAACACCTCAAAAGCAAAGGAACAGCTTTACTGAAGCGGACCCATTTAATGTTTCCACAGTGGACAATCAGATGCCTATGGGAAGGCCACAGCTAGGGCATGAGTGCAACAGCAGCTTTCCAACCCTATTTCCTTGCAACCCAATTCAGAGGTACAATGCACCATTGCTGGAGATATATAAAACCATCTTGACCAACAGTCAATGAGAGCCTTGTCTTCCTTTATTTGTATAATTCCTATTTAATGCTAACTTCCACTACTACATTCTCAGGTAGAAAATTCTGTACAGATGCATCAGGGGTCTCCTACCAACTCTGCTCAGATTGAAGAAGCTACTTGGATGAGTAACAAAATGCTTCAACCTAATAAGAAAGAAGTCCAGTTGCCATGACTCAACTACCAGATAACTCCTTCCACATGATCATGAATTTACACATCAGTGCTTGCTTATCTTTGATAACTTCACTGAATATTTAGTAGGCACTACAGGGGAATGGATTTAAGCAACCTATCAATACAAAGAGATCTGGCAACTCTCTCCTCACAGGAACAAACATCCTTGTTCCTATTCACATAATCCAACCACCATAAATCAAACTAGAGATAATGGAATTAGCCTTAAGAAGCTCATTAACTGTACACGGCACAATTTACTGCAAAAGAAGAGGGTTACTAACCTGCTTTTCTTTCTTCTGTATTTTCATTATCATCAATTTTAGGATATGTATTTATTCTGTAGTACACAAAAGAAACAGGTCAAGGTAAATATTCAAATACTGAAGGTGCATTGAAAGTTTTTTTTAATAAAATGTCCATCCTTAAAATGTTATTTTTTAAAAAAAGGTGTATTGCATCTAAATAACAAGAGTCCTTTGGCATCTTAAAAATTAACAAATTTATGGTGGCTTCAGTTTTCAACCCATTTCTTAGTCTTTAAGAAAGGGACACGGAACACGTGGCCCTCCAAAGTCAACTTCCACTCGGATTACAGTACAACTTCCACCAGTACTCACCATATCAATGCTATACTGATTAGGGTTAATGCAGTGGTCCCCAACCTTGGGCCTCAATATGTTCTTGGACTACAACTCCCAGAAGCCTTCACCACCCCCTCTGCTGGCCAGGATCTCTGGGAGCTGAAGTCCAAGAACATCTGGAGGCCCAAGGTTGGGGACCACTGGGTTAATGGACACTCGGGCTCTGAGCCCTATTTTATGTATCACGGAAGTCTGTTGTTTTCTGCAGGAGATCAATATTAAATACAGTACCCATATTAGGTTTCAGAATCTAAAGGGGCAATACTGAATAAACTGTCTAGGGAGTACAGTAAGTCATACGAAAGGAACCAAACAGGAACATAGCACGCTGCCTTATAATGTGACTACTGATTCATCTAACCCAGTACTATCACTTTGGATTGGCAGCAGCTGCTCAGACAGAATTCACACAGAATTGATTGATCGTCCTACTGGCGCTCCCTGGTATTACCTGGTAACCAAAATCAATATATTTTGGATAGACTCACAGAATCATAGAATTGTAGGACTGGAAGCAATCCTGAGTATTGTCGAGTCCAAGCCAAGGCAGAAAATCCACAGCTATACCATTTCTAACAAGCAGCCATCCAATCTCTGCTTTAAAAACTCCAGTGAAAAATAGCTCATCATCCTCCAAGACAGTCCAAACAGTTTGTACAGCTAAGACATTCTTTCTAAGGTTTGTTTGTTTGTCTGTTTATTATTTCAATTTTGTATACTGCCCCACAGTGTGAACACTCTTTGGGTGGTTCACAACACAAATGTTTAGGTAAAACCTTCTTTAAGTTGAATCCATTACTTTGAATTCTGTTCTCTGAAGCTACAGAAAAGAAGCTTGTTCCATCTGACAACTCTTCTCCAGACTAATAGGGCTTGGTTTCCTGATTCTGGTCACCATCCTCTGGACATATTCCAGCTTGTTGATATCCTTCTTAAACTGTGATGTCCAGAACTGGACACATTATTTGAGGTTCTCTTCATTTATATGCTGTATTTCTGTTGATGCAGGCTTCTTACTGCATTCTTTTTTGCTGCCCCATGGCACTGTTGATTTATGTCTATCTAGATACTTTTTTGACATGCACTATTGCTGAGCTAGCTGTCACCCATTCTATATCTATGCACCTTGTTTTTCCTATATACTGTAGTTTTCCTGGTTGAGACTCATTTAGCAAGCTTTTGTCCAGTTCTTCACTCTGTTAACATCATCCTGAATACTGATTCTACCTTCTGATGTATTAGCTAGCTCTCCAAGTTTGTCCTCATCTGCAAATCTGATGAGCACACAGTTATCGAAGTCAACTATACAGATGCTGAACGACATTATTTGAGTATGGCCCATCAATCAATTACAAATCCATCTAATAATAGCATAATCTAAACCACATTTTACCAGCCTGACCACTAGAATATCAATAAGGGACCTTATCAAAAGCCTTACTGAAATGAGAATACATTACATCAACAGCATTCCTATTTCATCTACCAAAGCTTGTGACTCTTATATTTAAAAAAAAGTGATAAGATTAATCTAGCTATGGGTTGCTTCTGAGAAACCCATGCTCAGTCACAGAAATTATAATATTCCTTTCTAACTCCTCACGAGACAAACTGTTTAATGATATGACTGTATCTGCAAGTTCTTTTAGACCCTTGGTCCAGGAGACCAGAATTCATTTAAAGTAGCTACATGTTTCCATACCACTTCTTTCGCTGTCATGGAGCAGACTCCTGCTTTCCTCCTTTAGTCTAACTGTACTAGATCAAGCACTGTTTTAATTTTGCAAAAAGACAGAGCAAAGGCTGTATTTGGCTGTTCTGCCTTCTCCCTGGTGACTGGCTGCATTTCTCCATCTTCTCTATGTAGTGAACCTACCATTTCTTTGTTCTTCCTCTTTCTTAGAGCACAAGTGAAAACAAACCATCCTCACTACCATCCTACACTGTTTTTTAAACCTCTCTTGCGAGTATGAGCTCAATTTGAGCTTTAGCCTTCCTCTTCCTTACTTCCCTCTAAAAGTATTGGCTACCTGTTTCTACTCTTCCTTAGTGACTTAACCCTCCTTCCATATGAATATTGGCTTATCTGAAATCAACTCACAGGTTCCTTAGATGTCTCCCACTTTTCTTTCTCACACGAATTGCTTATAATTATGCCTTTGGTATTTATAGATTAAGGAATTCCAAATCATTTGGACATTTCAGACCATGGATATGAACCAATATTTCCTTAAGCTTATTGAGATAAGCTTTCCTGAAGTTCAGAGTGCTTGCTAAATTTTTCTCAACTCTTTCTCTTTAATCAATATAACAAATTGCAAGATAGCATTGGCTGCTACTACTCAAAGTTCCTACTATATCCAACTCATTAAACAGGCCATGCTAATTCGGATCCTATCCTGAGCAGTAATTCCCCCTCTGTGTCTTCTTCAACTTTCTGGAAGATAAAGTTATCAGCAAAGCAAATGAGGAATTAATTCATATTGATGTTTGACTAGGCAGATATCAAGACAGCTGAAGTCTCCCATTATTAATATATGTATCCTCTGTGAATGTCTGAATGATCTAGGAGGTCATCATTCAAAACTTCAGTTTGATTAGAAAGTCAGGAACAAACCCCCTCACTAATGCCACTGTTGCTTCTTTCTCCTTCGATTTTTAGCCAAATGTTCTCCAATAATGTTCCTGCTTCAATTCACAGATCTTCTCACAGTTGTACACATCCTTTATGTGCAGAGCTGATACCCTCCTATTTAGGGTACACTTTTGTCCCCTGCGCTAGTTTCCATGTCCTCTGGAATACCATTACCCATAGCAGAGTTCAGTTTAAAGCAGTCCTGGCCATATTTGCAAGATTTCTAGCACGTATGTTCTTCCCAACCTTTGCCCAGTGCACCCTCACTAGTTCTTCTGCATGGAAATGCAGGTCACAGTCCAAGAAGCAAATCGTTTCCCTAGGCATGTGACTGGCAACAGGATTTTGAGTATGGAGAAAGAAGAGCTCCAATCCACATGAGGTGAAAGCACTACCAATACTTTACCCTTAGAAGAGTCAGGTAACTAGAAGCCTTATGAAAGCTGTTCTCAACTGATCAGCTTGCTCTCAAACTAGAAGTGATTGTGTGTAAATGCAGCTGTAAGCTCAAGCCACCTTGAAGATTTCTTTAGTAGAGAACTGGGATATATACAGTATATACATTTAAAGAACACTAAATAAGTATGGCATACCCATTTTTAATTTTCCCCCAATCTGACCAGTAAAATCCATTTTCACAAGCCAGCAAAATACACATTACTGACAACTGTTATAATCAATGAAACACAAAAAGAAAGCAAGATCAGTACATATCCTGTACCACTGGAAGTAAATATATTTGATCTTCGTTTCAGAGCATATCAGCACTCAGACCATATCAGTAATTTGCCACCCAAGCACTGCACACCTTCAACTGTATTACAACTTCATATGCTCCCAAGCCATTGAAGAAACACACATTTAGTGGTATCTTGAATGAAAAATAAACACTACTGACCATTTTTAAGCAAGAAATCTAAGTTAAGCTCATTTTCAATATACATTAATTTAATGTTGGGTATACTTATGCTTGGTATATTTTTTAAAATTATATATATTTTTAAAATTCAGATTCAAAATAAAATAATTACACTCAATTATTGAGACTTAAGAATATACCTACTCATTCAACAGTTCTGCTGTTGTCAGTCTACTAAACCAAACCTGTTTGTGTAAATTATGCCATACAATTCCTAGGGATCCCTTTTGTCCCAGAAAGCCTTCAGGAACCCTGGAACTTGGCAGCTGATGAAATCACTGGAGTTGTGTGGCATAACTTAAACAAATAGGATTCTGGCCACTGTAAAAATAAAGCTTAATAATAAAAAAGAGATAATATGGTTGAAAAGAAGAGATTTCATAAGGAAATCACAGAAAACTGGATTTTAGTAGTTTGTAACTACACATATTGTTTATGACTGTTGGAACGTCACATTTTCAGGTGCTATAAGTAAAGTTCCTTGGTTCATCCGCATGCAGTGGCAATAAGCCTTCATTTGTTTAACACCTCTTCCTAACTAAATGCACTATGGTATGTACAATACAACCATTTTTTTCTTCCCAGGAACCATTTACAGATAGGTACCCAGCAATGTACCTACCACACATAAATAGGAACATAGCAATAGGCAACTACTACTAAACAGCCCAAAAAAAGCATAAGTGTCCCATGTGCATATGAACACCCATAGTAAAAACCTTTGCCAGTTTTAAATGATCTAATTTCTTTCAAAGAGAAGTACAACAAGCAAGGAATTCAACTAAGGTATTGATGTGGTAATGAAATGTTTTAATTGTCATAAATTCACAATTACTTTTATGTTCTGAAAAATGAAGACAAGCAAACCCCTACAAAAGCAACACACTCCAAAACATATACACTAGTTCAGCAGTTCTGCTATCATCAATCAACCAAACCAAAACAGGGTATGCTGACCAGGAGTTCATTCAGCTTGAAGCTGCCTCAAATGACTTCCTTGAGTCCCAAAGCCAAACAGAACCTCTTCAGATTTCTTCATACATTACACATTTTAGGGACATAATTTTGTTTAAGTAAAAATTTTAAAATACAAAGCACGAAGACAGGAAATATACGTACCATGCATTCATTACAGGCATAGACTGGAGTGCACATGCTTACTAAGTGTGCATGCATTAGAGGACCAGAGCCTGTAAGTAGGTAATGTAGATCTCAAAACAGCAAATATTTAGCCTCAGAGCTACATTTTAGAGATTGGAAATGTTACTGGCCATGCAGATTGTAGTTCTCAGGAAGATGTAGTCCAAAAAAGAGAAATGTTTCTGAGATATGTTCTGAGATATCCAAATAAAACATAAGCTCTTCTAAAGAATACTTCTTCTCCCTTAGAAAATGTATACTTTGTTGAGATGTGAAAAGATGCTCCTATGAAAGAGACAATCTATGAATAGAAAATGCACATACCTGTTCAAGGTGCAATACATTGCCTTTTTTTTTAAAAAAAAAGGATGAAGCAGATGAAAAAACTGTTCACTCCAGAAGGTGGAAAGAAGCTGTACACTCTAAAGACGGGACTTTGTCATTCTCATAATAATATCCTGGAAATGAAAAGGAAAGACATAAACAAGAGAGAAATAGTCAGAATAGCTGTACAGCTGGCATAGAAATGATGTCTGTTATTAAGACATTACTGGAACAGAGGAAGCCACTTTATACTAAACTGGGCCACTAGCTAAGTACAGTCAAATCCAACCTGCAGCCATTTTCTGGTGTTTCAGACCAGATCCTTTCCTAGGTATCTCGAAGACCCCTAAAACTCCTTGGGAATTTCCCATCTAAAGATGGGAAGGCATGGGGTAGGGTGAAAACGGATAAGGGGGGACAGTTCCCCCTCTTTTCTTTTTCCAAAGCCAGATTTTGGGGTTTTTTTCTGGAAAACTGACATGGTATTCAAACTATGCAACATGAAGACCTTAATGAAGAACTTATGAGACTTTATGCATTTAAGTTCACTCTAGAAATGTAAAATTCTCAAAAATTTTCATTTTTTCCAGGGGAAAAACGGTTTTCTGGAAAAAAATGGATTTTTTCAGAAATTTTACATCTCTACTCCCATCTAATACTGACTCAGCAGTTTCCAAAACTAGACAAAATCAGGGGTTTTCAGGTGATGTAGAAGTACAACCTCAAACAGGAAGAACCATCTAAAGACAAGATCTGAATAAACAAACAAATCTGTGCACTCCACCACCCCTTATGGAGGGGCACTCAAAATAACTCCTCCAACATGGGCTCCATATACCAAGTTGAAGCAGGATGCCTTGGAACAGTTTTTATGATGGCAGGCAGGTTCCCCAGTCAGTAGACAGAGAGCCCCAGGTTGTTGTTGCAGCCCTGACATTGTTCTCTTATTATCGGCAGTGGTTTCTGACACTCTTTCCCAGTCCATCAGTTCTCCCAACCCACCAGGGCTCAATTCTGCTCACTAGCCCATATTCACCTGTCACTCCTGGCTGGGGCCAAGTAGCGATCATAGGTCCCTATCCATCTACTTCTCATCAGTGGGGCCGGATTGCTGTCACTAGTATCAGTAAGCTAGTGTTCTTCAGAGACGGCCAGTAATCCCACACAGTTCCTGATCTTTGTATGTAAAGGGATGCGTCCTTCAGTCCTTGAGCAGGTTAGCACAGGCACTTGTTAGCAGCATCACCTTTGTATCCACTGGGTGGGGATTAGTTCCAGTAGGAAAATATTTCTGGGCCATCTTGGTCCATGCATGATTTAATTTGTTTAAAATAGAATTGTTTTGACAATTTAAATTAAAAAAATCTATTTTTGATTTAAATCGTGTCGATTGATTTAAATCACTGATTTTTATCCACCCTGACGCCAGTAGTTAAAGTGGGATGGAAGATGGATGTGCTGCCCCCTCACCCCTTCCGCCAGGTAAGGCTCATCCATTGCCTCATCCAAGACACAGAAGACCAGGGGGCAGCTCTTCTCAGGCATCTGCCCACAACTCCCCCCCTCCAACCTCCTCTTCACATCTTACTCCCAAACTCCACCTCCTCCATCCCTTCTGCATCCTTCCTTTCCACCAGCTATTCCTCATCTCCTTTTCATCCCCGGTTCTCTGGTATTCTGTCAACATCCGCAGGTCACCCAGCCACCAGGGCCCCTGCACAGTCTTCCAGCGTGGTTATGAAGACAAGGCAAAGAGCCCAACAGGGGCAACGGGGGCATCTGCCTTACAGAATGGTGTTGGGGAAAAACTCCAAACCATTTTTTAAAGCTTTGCTCTGAGCAGAACTTATCTGATCTCTAATTTGGCAGCAACAAGAGCAACATAAAAATAAAACAGACATGTCACATAATTTAAATCATTTATACAAGCAAAGAAAGGTTTGATGCATGATTTAGAAGCACAGAAATCTGTGGCATGGGCCTTGGAAAGTGAAGCCAAATTTTAAACGGTGAAGTACCGCAGATATGCCTACAAAGTACTCTACATACATTAACAAACCCTGAACAGAACAAGCAAACCATCAAAAATCAAGAATTAGCCACATGGTATATTTAGTATATACTTATGATGAAACAAGGGCAAACACGTAGAAGTCAAGACTCTTTCAGATTAAACAAAACCATGGAGAAACCCTTTCAGCCTGAAGGCCAAATTATTTCTTCACAGGACTGGTAAATGCACCGGCAGCCTGAGGTCTGAGTGGGGTGGGGATTCATTGTATGATGATGGCTTTACCCTACAATGATGAGTCTCCCACCATCACCATATGGCTCACTGGCCATCAGTGGACAAAATAAGAAGACACCACTAAAAGGCCCAAACCCTATTCTACAAGAAATGACCCTATACATAGACAACTTTATTATAACTTTACTTTTTTTGTAAGCCATTCTGAGAAACTCATATATCCTATAAATTAATAAAAACATTCTCCTATTTCAGGAGATTACAGCTCTTGAAAGAACAGTACCTCCTACTTTTCTAAGAACCCTTTAACCAAGCCCAGTATTTATCTAGGCAGACAGTCTAAACTGATGCTGCTCCCATGAGCAAAGGATAACTGCTTAAATGTTTTTCCAACAAAACAGCCACCCATCCAACCCGTTCCTTACATTTCTTATAGTTAAAAAACACAACATCTAAGGAAGTCAAGAAAGTTACCACCAGAGACCAGCCGTTTTAGATTCTGGTCTCATATTTTTGGAATAAATTACAAGCAGAGGTTCACCAGGCATCCTCCCTCCCAGTTTTAAGAAGCTAATTAAAATGGACTTTTTAAAATGCTGCCTTTTATTAATGTGTGCCATCTGATGTCCAACTGCAATTTAAATTTATGTACTTATGTCAGATTCAGCAAGTAATGTGGTTTTAATTGACTGTTTACTGCTTCTCAATATTTGCAATTGATATTACATTATCTGTATTATATATGTTGGTTGTTAACCTTATAGGGAGTGCATATCATACTGTTGGGCAATATACAGTATAACAGAAAGAAAGAAAGAAAGAAAGAAAGAAAGAAAGAAAGAAAGAAAGAAAGAAAGAAAGAAAGAAAGAAAGAAAGAAAGAAAGAAAGAAAGAAAGAAAGAAAGAAAGAAAGAAAGAAAGAAAGAAAGAAAGAAAGAAAGAAAGAAAGAAAGAAAGAAAGAAAGCTGTTCTGTCTCTTTTCCTTTCTTGATGCAAATGAAGTATTGCTTGTCACACAGCAATTTTTTAGCGGAGAGGCAAAAGCCATGTGATAACAAACACCACAAGCAAGAACACAACAGCAGCAGAGAGAAAGCTGGCTGACAAGCAGCAAGTTAGCTGAGCACAGCATGATGGGAAATTTTTGCAGGTCATGTTTTCGCCATACATATATAATGCGGGATTCAATACTGCCATCCTAATGGGAGATGGAGGACCAATTATAGAAATAATGCCTTATCAAAGCCAGAAAAGGGTAAATTAGGTGGGGGAAGATAAGTGTCTCAACTTCCTAGAACAATTTCATTAGACAGTATATCCACCTTTCTAAAACCAAGCTAATACTGTACTACAAGATTGCAAGGCCATTTGATGAGCAGAGTGTGGCCTCAGCCCAGAAACACAGAAAACACTAACAAAGCCCTTACCTTAACACAGCAGGGGAAGAATTTGTGGGTGAGGTCCATCCCTTTGCTCAGTCTATGAGCCATCTCTGCCTGCCATTTACTTACTTCTTCATGTTTCCCTCTATGCTACTATGCAAACATTGTGGTGCTGGAGGAGACTCTTGAGAATCCCCTGGATAGCAAAGAGATCAAACCTATCCATTTTGAAGGAAATCAACCCTGAGTGCTCACTGGAAGGGCAGATCCTGAAGCTGAGGCTCCAATACTTTGGCCATCTCATCAGAAGAGAAGAGTCCCTGGAAAAGACCCTGATGTTAGGAAAGTGTGAAGGCAAGAGGAGAAGGGGACAACAGAGGACGAGATGGTTGGACAGTGTCACCGAAGCTACCAACATGAATTTGACGAAACTCCGGGAGGCAGTGGAAGACAGGAGGGCCTGGCGTGCTCTGGTCCATGGGGTAATGAAGAGTCGGACACAACTTGACGACTAAACAACAACTATGCAGACAGTATTTCAGTGGGTCATTGCTCTTGCAGCGACAGTTTCTCGTTGGTGCCAACATGCTTTATTTTGCAAAAGAAGACCCTGCCCTGCCCTGCTGCTGTCACCTAAAGCTTATCAAAGACAAGTTCTACAATATGACAAGCCCCATTGAGGAATTCTCTCCTGAAAGAACTTAGGACTAGCACTAACGATGATGACTTTTAAGTGGACTCTAAAACATTTTTTAAAATTTCATCAGACTTATTTAAGTGGAATAATGAGTTTCTTGGCTCTCTCTTAATTTTTGCTCTTATACTTTACTTAACTTTGGCTAATATACTACCATGTTTTTCCGTGTATAAAACAACACTTTTTCCTAAAATAATTAAGAGGAAATATTGAGGGTCGTTTTATACACGGAAGGCAGCAGCAGGAGGCGGAAGCAAAGAAGCAGCCGGGCTCGGAGGCTCTCGCTGCTGCCCATTGACTGCCGCTGCTGGATCGCCCTCTCCAGCTATCGTCTCCTTGTGATTGGGCGGTGGCAGCAGCAGTCAATGGGCAGCAGCAAGAGTCGGCCAAGCCCGGCTCCTTCTTTGCCTCAGTTTTCATCTCCTGCTGCCTCTGCAACTGGTTGCGGGCTCTGTGATTGTGCAGCCCTTTGACCACTGCTTTTCCCTTCCTTTTCCTAAGCCCCGTGCCTTAGCAAAAGGAAGGGAAAAGTAGTAGTCAAAGGGAGCTTAGCAAAAGGAAGGGAAAAGCAGCGGTCAAAGGGATCGTCTTATACATCAGGTTGTCTTATAAACAGAAAAATATCGTAAGTTGCTTAACAGTTGTTCTGTTGTTTTAATTAGATTGTATTATATACTAAAAAAACCAATAAATAATAAAAGCCTAAAAAACCATTGGGCACTTTTGACTCAAGAGAATTCTAGCTTAATGATAAAGAACCACATGCTAGGGCATGCTCGCTGATCACTCCGATTTATAAACTGTTAG